AAACTACCACTAAGATAACTAGTCAGACCTCCTGCCATGCATGGATTGGGCACAAGCCACGCTACCCCACGAGACAACTGGACTATTGCTGTTTGAGATTGAATTTGGTCACCAACTAACTCACCATTGGGACTGGAAGGAACAGACCAAGCAATCAAGTTCCGTACGCGAGCAGATGTCGCGCGAAGAGGCCCAGAGCTATGCCAAAACTCGGCGCGACGCAGTGCAGCTTGCTACAGAGATAGCTCAGAGAGGCATTGCGCAGGCCTAGCAGCGACAAGCAACCCAGGCAAACAAGAAGAGACGTAGTCTAGATTTCACAGTAGGCGATAAAGTGTACGTAACGCCTAAAGGATTTACTTTAGGTCGCCCTAGTCAAAAGCTCGACCACCAGATGTACAGACCATACCCTATTGTAGGCATGGAGGGACACTTGTATCGCTTAAAGCTGCCACCGTACATGCACATGCACGACGTCTTCCACGCAGACCGCCTGCGAAAGGAATCACCAACAGCGCTGCCAGGCCAGCTTAAACCTGAGGAAGAGCCTATCAACGTTAATGGTCACCCTAAATGGCCTGTACAGGAAATCCTCGACAGCCGTCTCCACTACCGCCGCCTGCAGTATAAGGTCTCCTGGGTAGCCCATGACCCCGACCCTACCTGGTACAACGCCCAAGGGTTCATAGGAGCTCCGCACAAGGTAAGAGACTTCCATGATGCATATCCAAACAAACCAGGTCCCCCAGCGCGGTTAGAAGCCTGGCTACAAGCGTATGAGGTAGGAGAAGACCTAGAGGCAACAAGGAAGGATGACCAGCCTAGAGAACTTGCTAGTAGAGGGGACTATAATAGAGGCTAGGGAACGCACTATACATGTAAGAACGCGCTATACATGTTATTATTGTACGTAACTACGGACTCGGGGACGAGCCCGCCTTGGAGGGGGGTAATGTGACGGTGCTGCTTGTCAAGCTCTGCTGCTAGTCACATGATCTCGCTAAGGGTTAAGCGAGCGCGCTAGCGCCTTGGCGCTGCGCAAGCTTTTCTCTCGCGAAAACCCTTCGCCTCCTTCACTCCCCATCCTAGTTTAGCTGAAATAGAGCCGACCTACTCTGCCATGCTTCCCCAGCTCCATACGGTAGTAGAGACAGTGCTTGTCATCACAGTGCTCTTAGTTGTAGTAGTTAGCTACTTTACACTTGTAATCTTTAACTAGGTAATGTAACATTAGATAGTCTTCTTTTTTTACTACCTTTTACTAAAAGTAGTAAAACTTGCAGTTATCTTATTCTTTACATTCTGCCTATCTTTTTTGTTTGTAGGGAGGGGCAGTTTAACAGGTGTAATAATTTATAGTTTTATAGGCTAAGGCTATTTATTGCTATAGGCACTTATTGTAGTTCTTTTTCTATGTAGGCTACTAGCATATTTAGTGCTTGTTGTCCTAGTGCTTAACACAGTAACACTGTGTGCACTAGTACTAGGGGTATAGACAGTTGTTAGGTCTATGTAAGGTATTAAGGGGACTCTTTTAGGTCCACTAGAGGTATTCTTATGTTTGTACTATCTAAACAGGGTGTCTTTTTTATTAGTAATTATTAGTGCTATAGGTTTTATTTTTACAGAGTGCACACTAGCTATAGCTCTGTTGCATTACTAAAGCCTTCCTGCTAATTATAAGGCTTAGGAGTAGCGTCTTAGGCTTTCTAGGTACTAGCCTTAGGACTTTAAACCTAGCAGGTCTACTTAATCTTTCTAGTTTCTAATCTTAGATTTTAACAAAGAACTGCTATTATTCTTTATTATTTATAATGTTATATTTAACCTTAGCTATCTGCTGTATAATGTTAAATGTAAGGTAGTTATTGCTAATGTTTATCTAGTAGAGCATTACTATGCAATAGCTTAGGTAGTTATGTTATAAACTACACTTCTAGCATTTACATTTTTAGAACTAGCTAAAGAGTTCTTTTACTAAAGTGCTAGAGGTCTAATTTTAAAAAAGAACTACTTTTTTTTTTTAAATGTTTATAATATATCCTTAGATCTAAGTCTTTTTTTTATATCTTTTAAGGATTATAAGGTCCTGCAACACTGTGTCTAAGCTATTAAAGTTTTAAATAACTACCTTCTAATACGCTTTAGAGTAGTTATTTAAAAAATAGTTTTTTTTACATTACTAGTAAAGTTTGTTGTTTAATCTTTCTAATATTTTTTTATCTATAAGGCTGTATTTAGCAGTAATAGCTTTTATTATTACAGTAGTATCTTTATTCTTCTCTTTCTAGAAGTCTAGGTAATTTTAGCAGAAATGTTCTACTTTTTTATAGTTTAGGTAGGCCTTGTCCTCTAGCTACTTCTATTATTCCTTTATTAAGGGCAGCTTATTACATTCTAGAACTTAGCTCTTCTTAGAAGGGGGGCTCTATATATGCTTTACATAACTAAGGTCTATTAGTTCTTTATTATATTATAAAAGCTTTTTTTTTTAAAAACAAACTCTAGTTTCTAGAAAGTTTCTTTTTATTTCTTTTCTCTTTTATGCTTTTTATAATAGTTGTTATAAGTTGTTGCTTATATAATAAAGTTTTTAAAAGTAGTTAGCTTATTACTATATATAAATTTATCTTTTACTATTTTACTTAGTCTATTATAGAACATGCAGTAGAGGGCTTTTTAGTCTATCTATCTATAGATAGCTAGTTGTTCTCTAAAGCGTGCTGCATAGTTCTAGGCTAGGCTGCTACTCTATTTTATAGTGTTTAATTTATTAGCTGCAATTTTTTTCTTATCTAAAGTCTTATAGATAGCTGTTAGGGCTTTTTTAAAGTTCTTAACACTACTAAACACTTCTTCTATTTTAGAGGTAAGTGCTGCGCTATTTGCCTTAAAGTCTATCTAATTATCTACATAGGGCTAGAACTAAATTGCAGGGGGGCCTTTTAGATGTAGTCTTATTTAGAATATTATTTCTGCGTCTGTTTAAAATGCTTCTTTATTATATTACATGTAAAAGTAGCATCTTATAAAAAATAGTTAAAAGTCTTTTAGTAATTTTTTAAAAAGCTTTAAAAAAGCTAGTCTTAAAGTCTTCTTAGCTATAATACTTGCTTTTTTAGTTAAGATATTTTATATTTTAGCTAGCTCTACTTATAGTTTATGTATTTAATAGGCGTAATTAGTAGCTTCCTAGAGGCTTAAGAGTCTAGAGAGGGTTTATAATTCTATTACTTTTTAGTAAAGGTTTGCAACTTTTTATTAGAGTTCTGCTAGCTTACTAATTTTCTTACTAATCTGCTAGAGTTTTTTAATGTTATCCTAGATTATGTTAATCTGTCCTGCTAGAATAGCTTTAGTTTAGCTAGGAACTTCTATAGATCCTAACAGGGCTGTGTAGGCTATGTTAGAATCTAGGTTGTGTTAAAAGGTATCTATACTTTTTAAAGGGGTTGTCAGATATGCGCACCTACTGTCAAGACAGGAGGAACGTTTGACGAAAGCTGCTACATAGTACGAGCAATAAGCTCGAACAGTATGTTGCTGCAAATTGCTGCATTTTGCAGCATTTTGCAGCATGTTGCAGCAAATTGCAGCAAATTGCAGCATGTTACAGCATTTTGCAGCAAATTGCAGCATGTTGCAAGCTGGTCGCGCATAGGGCTAGTGCGCGAGGGACTCGGATCGGCAGAACAAAAAGCCGAGCAACACGAGTAGAGCAGAAAAAGGATCGATAAATAAACACAATCAATACAATCCATCAATCATCCCATACATCATATCAAAACCCATCATTCATCTCAGGAAGCCCAGAAACAGTGCTTCAATCTGACAGGGGTAGTGTTTAATGTTATAATTCTTACTTTGTAAAAGCACTTAAGTCTTTATAATGTTCCTGGGGGAGAAGTAGAGCAGATAATAGAGGCTAACTAGTAGGGTGTACAGCCCTACGTACAGGCAAATAGGCTATTAGAGAGGAGTAGCGTGACTAGATTGTAGTTTACCCTTAATGCAGCAGTAAAAAGGCTAGGTTAAACAGTCCTGTTAGACAAAGTTAGAGGTATATATAGTGCAAGATATATAAATAGTATTATAGCTCTTTAAAAAGCTAAATGCTACTTAGTCTATGTAAAGAATAAACTAAACATTAAACACACCTCCTAAAGGTTGTTTAGTGCAGAAGCTATATACATGTGCTAGGGGTGCTAAGGCGAGTTTAGGCAAGTTCCTTAAGTTAGCTGCGCGGGGCTGCACTGCTAACTTGTTTTAACTTGTTAAACTTGCTAAGACCTTATTAAGACTTGCGTCCTGTCTTCCTACTAGACAGTGCACTCTTCTATTACTGCAGGCAGCTGCGCTGCGTCCGTGTCCTCCGACTGGTTCATAAGCGAGCCCTGCCCCAATTCAGCTAGATTGTGGAGCACTGCCGGTGGAGTTACGCTGGTCCAACCGTAGACCGTAACAATTAATTGCTTAGTGTTGTGTGAGAGACATTATAGATAGCTGCAGCGTGTTGCAAGGAGAGTTTTAAGTCTTATTTAAGAGCCTAAAGAGCAAGCTGTATCTGACGTTCTTTAGAAGATTTAATCTAGTGTTGTTGTTAAGGCATTATGTAGATAGGTAGAGTTTGGTGGGGGCTTGGCAAAAGTGGCTGGCCAACCCGTGTGGCCGGCCAACCCGTTAGGTACGTTAGTAGATATAGCTAATAAAATATTCGATGTATAAAGTAGAGAGGTAGCAAGTAAGGACTAAGCTAGATACTTTACAATATGTACGAATAAGCTTAAATAGCCTTTAATTAAGTAAAAGACTGGCTTTCTGTGTTGGAATAGGCACTGCGGGCTAAGGCCTGCGTTGTGGCGTTCGAGGCTGGACATTCCGGTGAAGATGTGAAGCTGTGTAGATGTCATTGGTCGGATTTTCTAATGCTACTACGAGAGACAACACAACCTGCTCAGCCTTGGGGGCAACCTCACTTCTTCACTTCTAACATCGCCTCAATCTCGGGGAGATTGGGTTTCCGAATTGGATACTTCTGGAGCCAGACGACGCATATCTTGGGTATCCGAGGTCAGGCTGGCCAAGGTCTAAGCCCTCGAGGCTCCATCCATCGCTATTACAGCCTCGCCTCGAATTTTTCCAGCTTCTCAACATCATCATCCTTCACGGAGAGCACAACACCCTCAGCTCATCCTCCTCATCCAAATCTCCATATTCTTACGCATCCAGAACCGCATTTCTTCGAGCTTCTCAAGGTCATCACTCCTCAAGGAAAGCACACCATTTTCAGCTCATTCCGCTCATCAACAGCTCCATATTCTTGCGAATTCAGGACCGTCGCCATGGTTCTGGAGGCTCTTGTAGCGATCAGTTTGACAGGAAATATCGTCCAATTCGTCCACTTTGGCTGCTCCTTGTTTGCGAAATGCCAAGAGGTATATCGTTCGACATCTGGTACCACCTCGGAGCTTGAAGAACTTCAGGTTATCGCAAAGCATGTCGAAGAGCTTCTGTTAAAGATTGATGCTCCTCTGAAAAGCCAGCAAAGCGGAACGGGTAAAGTCACGAGTAGCCCGACCCTGGTCGAACTTGGGAATCGCTGCCGGTCGGTTGCCTTCGACCTTATCTCCGCCCTCGACGATTTAAACGAGCGGGGTAACTCGGGCGCGGCTCACACTGGAGCGGAAGGGTCCAAAACATCACGAAAATGGCGAAGCTTTCGAATGACCTTGGCCAGCATATGGAAGGAGGATCATATTGTAAGACTAGAAGAAAGACTAGAGCGCTTGCGTGACCAGGTCATGTTCCACCTTGTTTCCGACCTCAGGTAAGCTTGAGTCGGCGGTGCTGCATTCTCTCCACAGGTTGTTCCCACAACTTATCAATGTTTCTAGTGCCAAGCAGGACCTCGTCCTTCAAATACTGGACACATGGAAGAAAGAGAGCGCCATTAGAGAATTAGAGACCGTCAACATTCTTGGTAAATTAGCTCAACAATTACAGACATTAGAAGGAGCGATACCTGTTGCTCCCAATGAAACCTTATTGGAGGATCTTAGGCTCAAGTTCACAAGCCTTTCGTCACTTATCAATCGCGAATCAAAAAAACTCGCCATACTCAAGAGTCTACGTTTCGATAGTATGCGAGTCCGGGAATCTACCATTGCAGAGGCACATAAGCGGACATACGAATGGATATTCACACCAGAAACGCTCCCTGGCAGTGACCCACGATCGAGGATAAAGTTTCTTGACTGGCTGAAACACGGCAATGGTTTATACTGGGTAACCGGCAAGCCTGGGTCGGGAAAGTCAACATTGATGAGGTTCATTGAAGATCACAGCTCAACTTGTCGTGCATTAGATGAGTGGACTGGATCGACGACGCTGAGAAAAGCTAGCTTCTATTTTTGGAATGCCGGTACAGAGATGCAAAAGTCATTGCCAGGTTTATTTCAATCTCTACTTTACAACGTCCTGAAATCATGCCCTGATCTCATTCCAACCATTTGCGAGGATCGTTGGGCGTGCCACGAGCATTTGACAGTTGCGTCTGATCCATGGACATTACAAGAACTCCGAGAATGCTTCGCGAAATTGAAAGGGGGGGAAGCAACCTCGAATTTCTTCTTTCTAATAGATGGTCTCGACGAATACAATGGACACCACGAGGAAATAGTCGAAATCCTACAAGATCTAGGCTCGTCGCCAAACATCAAACTCTGTGTATCAAGCCGCCCGTGGAACCGGTTCGAGTCTGCTTTTGGCTCATCTGATGCACTGAAACTGTATCTCCATACCCTAACAGCTGAGGACATTGAGCTGTTCACGAAGGAGCAATTGTTGAGCCAAATAAATCCCCTGGACCTTCAAGAAGAACTCGTCACCTATCAGAGCATTGCTAATGAAATCGTGGAAAGAGCAAAGGGTGTATTCTTGTGGGTCTGCTTAGTTGTGCGTTCTCTCCGTGAAGGCATGCTCAATGGGGACACGATCACGATTCTCCAGGAACGGCTAGCAGCCTTACCTACGGACCTCGAGCCTTTCTTCGAGCATATCATCAATTCAGTGGAGGTGTTTTATAAAAGGCAAATGGCGACTTCTTTTCTCATTGGCTTGGAAGCGCTAGAGCCCCTCAGGGTCATGGACTACTCGTTTATCGAAGACGAAAAGTCTACTATCGGTCTCTCGCTCGAGTGGACTCCCATGAGCAAAACCGAGATCCAGAGTGCTACAAAAAAAACATTGAAATATTTGAATCGATACAAGGGACTCCTGGAAGCTTCAGCCCAACCTGGATCGCAGATCGACCATTTGGCCATTGTGGATTTCCTACATCGTACGCTAAGAGACTTTCTGCAACTGCCAAAGCCACAGGCCATGCTACGGTTACTAGTAAGCGAAGGGTTTGACGTGAGACAAACAATGAAAAGGGTACTTCTTTCTGAAGCTAAGCTTGCCCACTCCCAGCTCACGCCTCGCAGTTTTACTCGGTTGCTTGACTTTGCTCTAGAAGTCACAAAAAAATCTGCTAAACCGGAGTATGAGTTTGCAATACTTGATCACGTCGAGCTTGCTTACGATCGACACCCCTTTGCTCCGGAAACCGCCGGACATTCGGAACATGAGTTTGCAATCCCTGATCACATCGAGGTTGCATACGATCGAGACCCTTTTGCCTCGGCAACCGGAAAACAGGTGCAAGCCCCGCCGTGGTCACTACTGAGAATTGCCTCCCATATCGGACGCAGTGACTATGTCAAATACAGAATAGTTGATCAAGGCCATAGGGAAGGCTTAGATCATATCCTTGAGCACACTCTTATATGTCGTAGCAAATTCGACCAGACTGGGGAACCTTCAACGTTCGCCCAGGCACTTTCATCTTTATGCAGTCTAGCCACTTGCTGCTTCAAAGAAAAACCGAACACGGAAGGCGTCCCACTTCTATACGATGTAGTTCGCACGCTGATTGAGAACGGCGCTGACCCAAACGCTTCAATCAAATGTAGAGCAAATCGCTACGAAGATTCTCTTTCGCAACCCATATGGGAAGGATTTTTACGGCGATCTCTTCTCCTGTGGTTCAAGCACGATCTTACCCAAGTAGACTGGCCTCAGATACTCAATTTTTTCGCCGAAGCCGACCTCTCTCGATCAGTGACCGACTTATGGCCAAGTTTTCTGGATCTATGCTCGACCTTTCCCGATACGGATTTTGGCCACGTCATACGAATGTTTCGAGCTTTTATAGACCATAGCTTGCGAACGAGCACTGTGATAGACGGTTGCAGCTTGTTCCAACATTTACTACGTGCGCTGAGCACGAATAACCAAATCTCGTTGCGAAGTCGACACGAAGTGATAGCACTATTTCTTCGCCATGGCGCCAATGTGAACGACATATTTGCACCGTTGGGGCCATCCCGTCCGAGCTGGTTCGAGAGACTTCTTGACAGTTTCAAATTAGAACCCGGGCGACGTTGTGATTCTCTTGACTTTGAACTCATGCTGAAGCACGGCCTCGATCCAAACATGCAACTCAACGGGATCACGGTCTGGCAACATCTGCTCTTCGCTTTGCTAAGCGGGTTCTGGGGAACTGGGGACAGGGAATACGTCTATCGGACGACCATAGCCCTCTTTCTCCAATATGGGGCAGATCCGAACTGTGAGGAGATAACAGATGTAATGAATTCCATAGACGACGATCATCCTTCCGATCTTGATCGGCTTTGGAACAAGGAGAAGGAATTCGTAAAATCCCGAGACAACCACGCCAGACCATTACCTTTGAACTTCAATCCGTTGTGGTTCGTGTCTGGGCCATCCATCCCATACGATAGGAACCTGTATCCAAACCCTGCATGGAATTGACATCCTCAAACACAGCATCCGGAGGGACGGGGACCCAGGGACTAGCGCATGAGTGGTCCTTTAGACTACGTCAGTACTTATGTCGCTTAATTAAAAAAAGCTCATGATAGCTGCTTACAATTAGCGTCTAATGCATCTCTTAAGGCTGGAAACACCTTGTCACGTGTTACGATATCTTACTTCGACTTTACTATTGCTAGGTGCCTTCTGCCGGTAACAGGTCTTGATGATTAGAAGTAGGGACAGGGTTAAGAGGAGAGAGAGTTTGAAGAGGGGGTATGTTTCCTACGCCTTAACTTACAACAGTGCTTAGGGGGTGTACAGTCCTCTGTGCAGTCCTTGCAGAGCAAAGGAGAGGAGAGAAGAGATACAGTAAAGAGGGAGTAAGATAACTAATATGTTTGTACTATTATAAATAAAAGAATAGTCTTCACACGCTTCCAGATAGAAAGGATATAGGATATATTACTATACCTAGGACTATGTCATGTGTTAAAGAATAACTATAACCTTCTACTTAAGGTAATAGGTTAAGACTATATACCTAAAAGTAATTGTAGTAATTGCATGTTCTAAGATCTAATTACACCCTTTAGCGTGTAACTGCTGCAATTGCTTACTAAGTTCTGCAATTACTTTCTTATTCTTGCATACACTCTATACCTGTCTAGAGCATCACGTGACGTGACCTCTGTAGGCTGTGCCCTTACTAGCATTAGGCTGTCCTTCCTCTCTGGGGTTAGAGACCTGCATATTCCTCTAGCCTAACTAGTAGTTATAACATCTACTCTTCTCTCTCTAGGCTTTAACTTAAAGTCTATAGTTTAAGCGCGCTACAGTGCTACTCTTTTTAAAGCGTAAATATACTATTCTTTAAGATCTATTATATTCTTACCTTTTTTTTTTACCTTTATTTGCTATTAGCTAAAGTAACTTAATTTATTTATTATTACTATTCTAATTACACTGCTTGTCTTTCTCTACTAGGTTATAAAATAATAGCGCTATATAGTCTTTACTATAAAAAAGGTGTTAAGTGTATAGTATCTTTATTCTTTTTTTTATATTTATTATAACTAGAAAGGTTTCTACTGTAACGTTTTTATGCCTAACTTAAAATAAAATTAGTTAAAAAATAATAAAAAAAAGGCCTATTCTAAATTAGCTTAAGTAGAAAAGAAAAAAGCAGCATTAGTAGCTAGGATAGTAGCTTTTATAGCTAACATGACTTATATAACTTTTAAAAAAGCGTGTCTTTATTCTTAGATTGTGTCTACTATAAAACGCATAGATCTTCTAGTAAAACATAATACGTCTTACTTAAATAGTAATAAAAAGGTAATTAAGACTCTAGAAGTTTTAAAGTAAAAAAGAGAGGTTTTTACAGATAACTTCTTAGACAATCTTCTAGACATTCTTATCTTCTAACACTACTAGTGTGACGGAGCGTACCGCGTCACATGCTCTGCGACTCAAGCTCCCTTGCTTGCGCAACGAGTAGCGCCTTTGTGCAACAAGTAGTGCTTTAGCAGAGAGAATACATGTATATTTAAACTCGCAGAGCAGCTTCTCTGCTCCTTAGTTTAATCTAGTTAGGTTACACCACCTCTTGCTTATAGCTTAAGCATGCTAATTACAACACTAGATTAAACTCTTTAGGTAACATAAAAGCTAAAGTATATATGTACATGTATATGCTTAAGTTTTTTTTAACACATGCACACGCGTATAATTCTAGGTTAATAGACACTAACATACCCTATTATATTAATAGTAGAGATAGAGTGCAACTTTTACACATATAATTCTAGGTTCTGCTAGAGATAGGTTAGCTTAGTTGTTGCGCTCTAGCTTCTACTGCCTACGCACACGCACACAACCTTAGGTTCTACTAAAGATAGGTTAGCTTAGTTACTACACTCTAGCTTCTACTGCATATGCATATAATTAGCTTTTTACTTTTTTTACTTTTTTTCTTCATTATATAATAAATAACTTAATATAGTAGCTCTAGGCTAAAATATAGACTTTATAAGCTAAGTTTTAGTAGAAAGTTTAAAGCTTACATGCTAAGAACTAAGCACTATAAGCTACACTTGCTGTTATTACTACTACTACTTTCTTCTATCTAAAGCTAGTCCTCTTTATGCTACCTATATTTAATAGTAAGCTATATAGATTTAAAACCTAGCTACTAACTATTAAAGCAAAAATAGTTGTAGATAGTAGTATAATTAAAAATAATATAGCTTAATTCTGCTTTATGTAAGACAACCTAGAGCCTATAGTGTAGGCTACTATACTACTACTACTATTAGATGCTAAAGAATGAAGTTAATAAATCTATAAAATAATTCTATAGTAGCTATAATAAGTATACACTAATTTTAATAGAATTTATAAGGCCTAGTAAGCTTTATATAAGCTATAGTAAAATAAAAGTAAGCTTTTACTAGCCTATATTGCCTAATTTAAGCAGATCTTGTATAAAGCTAAATGCAGAGATTAGCCTACTGCTATTAAGATTATAACATTCTACTAAAGTCTTAATACCTTAACTTAGCGTACACTAGATAGCTAATTAACGCTGCTAGATAACTACCTAGTATTTTTATAAGCTGTGCAGCGCTTAGCCTTATAATTAAATATATATTTACATGCGTTACAATTCTCACCCCTAGGGCCTAGTGTTTCTAGGAGCCTAGGGTGCGCGGGCCGGAGTTAGGTTTGGGAGGAATAATAGGAGAGCTTGCCTTAGGGTGTACAGTCCTAGGCTTGGCTTAGGAAAGCAGATTGTAGGAGGCTAAATTATAGTTTACTCTTAGACAGCAGTATAGACACTAGGTTAAACAGTCTAGTTAACAGAATTAGAGGTATATGTAGAGCAAGATATATAAATAGTATTGCAGCTTTATATAAAGCTAGAATGCTACTTAGTCTAAATAAAAATAAACTAAACTTTAATTATACCCTTTAAAGGTATGTTTATAATAGTCTTATATACAGATCTTAGTTTGTCTCTTCTGTAGGCCTTAGTCTTAACTATTCTATTAGTACTGCACTTATCTTATAAGCCTGCTAGCTTTAGCCTTACTAAGCCTTGCAGGCTTGCTGTAAGGTTGTTGTGCTTAGCCCTGCTAAGCCTTATAGGTCTGCAGTTACCTACTATTAGACAACGCATTTCTTATATAGCTGCTGTTTAGGGTTATAGTCTCCTTTATCTAGCTCTTTCTATTTAAGCATAAAGGGGTTCTATGCCTAGTTTTGTAGGCTATAGGGCACACTGTTTGTCCCCTAACTAGTCTACTTATAGATTATAACACGCAGGCCTCTCTCTCTAGCAGCGTTCTTACTGTTTTGCCTACACTACTATAAGTGTTAGAAGTTTTTTATTACTTATAAGTCCCCTTCTATAAAGGCTTCTTTAAGGTTTATCTTTTTAACATTAAAACATGCCTTGTTAGTTAAACTGTGTCTGTTAAACCTATACTGTCCTTTACTTTAACCTCTTTTGTTGTACAAAAATGCGTCCCTGTAGGCCTTATTAGTCT